CAGCGGCCGGCGGGGAGCGGGGCGGACGGACGAACAGACGTGGACGGCCCCCCACCCGAGGCCCACGTCCCCCGGGACAGCGCCCCGCCCCGGGACTGAGCTGGACGCCGGGGTCCCTTACCGTGAGCCAGGAGTGCCAGCAGCGAGGGCAGGAGCAGCGCGGCTGCCGGGCGCATGGTGCCGGCTGTGGCCGCGCCCCGGTCCGGGGCCGCGGCGGGAGGGCTGGGGACTCGGCAGGGAGTGGGCGCGGGGACAGAGCCGGGGCCAGCGGGAGACGGGGAGCGGGGCCGCCGCCGCCGCCAGCGCCCGATAGAATCAGCACCACGGCCAGCGCCTGGCGTCGGCGCCCGGGATCGCCGCGCGGGGCTGGGGGCGGGGGCGCGGCAGGAGCGGCTTACCGTAAACTCTGCAGCAAACGCGCAGCAGACTCGGCGGCGAGAGCACCGCTTCTCGCACCGCCCCCAGCTCAGCGGAGAGAGAGACTGCCCTGTGGGGGTGGGCACGTGGCCCCCAGGCCTTCCGCGCTACCCACGCCCAGCTAAACCTACTACCCTCTCCCTCAAGTAGTTGGGGTTCTAACATAAATTCTCCATGGGGGGGGAAAGAGCCTAGCAGCCCCCTCCCCACTTCTTCCTACCTCATTCAGGTACCTGAGGGCGAAAAGGGTGATCTGGGAAGGGGTCTGGGAGAGAGGCAGCTGGTGAGACCCTCGTGCCCTTGTGGTAGGTCCTTCCTGGGCTGATAATGAAGATGGCTTTTGAATGTACAAAGGACAATAAATTATTACTTCGTGCTCAATAAATGCCAGGGCTCCAGGCAGCTGCATCAGCAGCAAACTGTGCTCACAGAAAAGCTTAATTATCCTGATATTATAGTTAAAAGCCAGTGGCACTCATGTCCTGAGGAGACATTCTTTATTTGGTAAGAGGCAACCTGGACTAAGACTTGAGCACCAGAGGGTGGTAATCCTGGGTCCTCTTGCAACTCTGAATCTCCAAGACTCTGTTTTGGTCCCTCTGAAGGAAGAGAGAAGCCACTGTGTTAGTCAGTCAGTACAGACACTTGATGCTGCCTTGCTGCTCAGGTTCCCAGAACTGGGTGAGGGGATGGATATCTCTAAGGTTGCTTTAGGCAGAGAATGTAAGAAGGTCCTAGAGCGTAACGACAATGACTAAGAATGATAGAAGGAGAATTGATGCCTTTGAATTGTGGTGCTGGAGGAGAGAATTGAACATACCATGGACTGCTGAGAGAACAAACAGGTCTGTCTTTGTTAGTTGTTGTTAGGTGCCGTTGAGTCAATAAGGGTCTGTCTGAGAGAGAGTGAAATCAGGCTGCTCCTTGGAAACAAGGATTTTTAACCTCTGTCTAACATACACTTTGGGCATGTTGCCAGGAGAGACCAGTCCTTGGAGAAGGACATCATACTTGGAAGGATAGATGGACAGCGCAACAGAGGAAGACCCTGGATGAGATGGTTTGACTCAGTGACTGGGGTAATGGGTACAGGTGTGTCAGAGACAATTAAATTGGCTCTGGATAAAGCAGGGTTCAGAGCTGTTATACACAGGGTTGCTGTGAGTTGCACGCGGCTGGAGGGCACATAACAACAACAACAACAAAGGGGTCGCGAGGAGGGTCTACCATTCAAAGGTTTGGAAAAAACAAGCTTTGGAGATCTGCCTGAGCTAAGAAGTACCTTGAACTACAGGGCAGCAAGGGGTCAGGAACAACTGTACTGTTATTCCTTTGCCTAAGGATTTAGACCCAGAAATATGGCTCTGAGCATGCAATGAAACATACCTCAGTGGCTGCTTTTATTTTTTTATTTTTTTTTCTATAATTATATTTTATTAATTTTCATAAACATTTACAGAGATTTTGGGCTTCCACTCATTCATTGTTGCACTATTCTCTTTACCCTCCTCCCAGTTTGTTCTTGTAGTGGCTGCTTTTATTATTATCAAGAGGAAGACGACGCTGAGATTCCTGTGGCTCTGGATACAAGGGTAGCTTTGAACTTAGCTATTTTCAGATGAACTTAATTCCTTCCCTCCACCCCAAACTTTCAGAGCTCATTGTCTGATACTCTTCCTGACTACATCCTGGAAGTGAGTAGCAAGACTTTTGCAATTAAGTCGCATTCCTCAGAGACACTCATGGTGCCTCTGACCACTGGTTGTTCTCATGTACTATCAAGTTAGCTGACCCTCCAGCAGGTTTTCAGAGGCAATAGGTCACACAGAGGAAATTGTCCATCTTTCTTTCTTTCTTCCCCAAGAAACCAGTAGATTCAAACTGTGTACTTTTGCATTGGCAGCTCAATTCCTTACCACTAAGTTACCAGAGCTCCCCTGTGACCCATAGTCTTTCGGTTTTGTTCTTTGGATTCTCTTCAGATCCCTTCTGCGGGCTCTTGGGAGCCCCTTCGACTGCCGTAAAGATTCACAGGCAGCAGGCAGGTGGCGTGTGGAGTTAGCTGAGACAGAAGCTGAGAGAGGATTTCTGGACAGTGTTGTTTTTTTTTTTTTGGACAGTGTTTTTGAGAAGTTGGGTGGTGGGGAGACAGCAGATGGATGACAGGAGGGAATAATGAAAAGGATAAGAAGTGAGAAAAGGAAGTGAAATAAGAAGGTACAGAGGGGAATGACCAACAGATGAGGGGGCAAAGAAAGACAGATGGGAGGTTCCGTGACTGAAGGAAGCTCAGTCACATATTGGCGAATGTCATGAAATCTCTCCTTTCCTCCTTGAAGGTATTCCTGAGTGCCCTTTGAGAACTGGGAAGCTTGCGCAGAGAATGAGTCATGACCCAAGGGTGAACCTTGTATGCCAGGATGATTCATGGGGATTTGGAGGCTGGTGGCAGGCTTGTCTGAGTTGCCTGGCAGCTGGGCTTTTTGTTGGGCTGAGCACCATCCACAGGAAGGAGGCTGAGACATGCCACTCAGGAACTCACCACAACCAAGTCCTTGCTGCCTGAACCAAGCATTCATGAGGAGGGGGTCCAATGAAGACTACAAGTCCCAGAATGCAGCACTCTGACCTGAGCTCAGAGGATGGGTTTGCAGTGCCTGATGGGAGTAGTAATGCACCTGGGCTGTCCCTTTCTCCTGAAGATGGTCAGCATGGCCTCTGTGCAATGGGTTCCCAGTTAGGTTGATGTACAGCCTGGGCCAAACTGGGAAGCAGTGGAGTCTCTACAAGCATCTTTACCCTTCCTTGTGTCATGCCTTCCAAGGGGCCCATTTTACCTAGATCACCCACAAATTGAAAATGATGATGACATGTCTTTGGGAATGTTTAGCTCTGTAGACAGGGATTGTAGACTAGATATAAGTCATATCCACTTGCTTTCCCCATTCCAGGTCTCATTCTCTTGCCTGCCTCTGTCCTCAGAGGGCCTGTCTATGCCATTGCTTCATTATCTCTCTTCTCTACTAGATTCCATCAGTTCTGTTGAAGGCACAGATCTTGTCAGTCTTGCTCACTCCCAGCACATCGTTGATGTTCAGGAATATTAGAATAAATGAGAAGGAAGGAAGTGTCTAAAGCCTAAGGCAGCTCATTTGTGCTTAACAAGTACTGTGAGATAATGGAGAAGGGGGGGATTGCTTCTTTTAGGGTAAGGAGAGGTCAGTGAAGGCCACACACAAAAGGAGGGTAGTCTGAAACCAAGTCTTGAATATGTTATGTTTTATCAAATGGTGAGGAAGAAGGAGGTCATTCAAAGCGTGACAATAGTTATACAGAGGCAAGTGTGAGCCCACCAAACACTGAATTAATTCCTCCCACAGAGACCCTGTAGGACAGAGTAGAACTGTTCAAAGGGTTTGTAAGGTTATAATCTTTATGAAAACTGACTGGCCCATGTTTCTCCCTCAGAGCAGCCAGGGGGTTTGAACCACTGACCTTTTGGTTAGCAGCCAAGGGCTTAATCACTGCACCATAAGGACTCCTATACAAAAGCAAAGTAATAGGTATACAAGATAGTCTGGGGTCAGTGAGGAGCTTGTCCTGGGGTAACACAGCCCCTGTAGGGAGGTTGGAGGAAGGACTGGAGTAGTAGGCTGTGACCAACTGTGAGAGGCTTGTGGTCATCTAAGGAGCCCTGGGTGTGTGTGTGTGTGGGACAAACAGTTAACTGATTGAGTGCTAATAGAATGGTCAACTGTTTGAATCCACTCAATTGCTCCTCTTTCATTAAGATTTCATCTGGAGAAAACTCTATGGGAGAATTCCACTCTCTCATGAGGGTCATTAGGACTTTGACTCAAGGGCATCTAACAGCAAAGCCACAGGGCATCCTTGATGGTTACATCGAGGAAGTGTTCTGCCATCTCAAAGATATCTGTCCCAGGGAGCTCTGGTGGCCTAGTGGCAAGAAGCTGCACTGCAATCCCAGAGGTGTGCGGTTGGAAACCACCAGGTGCTCTGCTGGAGAAGGAGGGACAATCTCCTCCTGTACCAGTCAGATCTGATTTGACGGTGTACACACACACACACACACACACACACACACACACACACACATAGTTAAAAAAAAAGAAAAAAAAAGATATCTGCCCCAACACAGGGGAGTCTGGAATCAGTAAGGTGGGTTTTAAAGCACAATGATACATGGTGGGGGAGCCTGAATTAAGATAACTGGTTAAGAACGAGAGTTGGGGGCTGGAGGGGTGAGAAAGGGCCAAAAACAAGCTCCCCAAACCCTAGGGTCCCTATAGCTTCTGTCCAGACAGTGCCAGACACCCAGCTTCCTCGCTTTCATACAGCCTATCAATTTGTGGGATCACAGGCACATCGGTGACTTATTTTGAAGTCTCTGCTGGGATGACACTTGTTTTCTGAGTGAGAAGAGGGGAAAATTACTCTCTTCCAAGACAGCTTTTTAACCAGAGCTGCATTTTCTGTGGAGCCAGGTGTGGTTGAGGGCATCCGGGAGTAAGAGGTAGGGTTTGCTCCTTCACTCCAGAGATTCTGGGGGGAGCACAACACAGCTTGCACACCTCACCCCCTCCTCCATGGAGAGGGCTCACAGACAGAGACATTAGGGCTCCAGGCAGGTTTCTGGTATTATCCAGTCCTTTAACTATGAGAGTAGAAGGAGGGTCCTTGTCAGTATACTGGTTTGGGGGTATTTGCTCCACCCCTCTTCCAGGAGCTGCATTGGATCAGCTATAGCAAGAACTTGGGGTGGATGGAAACAGAAAGTGGTTTGATGTGGGCTGTTTCTGTCTGCAATTGGAGGCCTTCAGCCTGCCCACCACCCCCAGCTGGGGCCTTTGATCCTCCTCAGCTCCATCAATGTTTAATGCTACCGGCTGGGCAGAAATAAGACAGGTGCTG